TATAATAATATGAAAATCCCCCTAAAGCCCTTTAAAATAACTAGTATTGCATTTAAATTCCTGTGAATATATAATGTGATGCATAAATATATGTATGTGTAAAAGTGTCACACGTGTAATGATGTGTATTTTTTATGCTGGTAACTTTCGTGTGTCCGTGTTTGCACATAACACTGATTGGAAAGTTATTGATTAACCTTAGCCAAGCCCACATCTCCCTGGTGATACTATAACATCAGCAGAAGAGGCATTCCCCTTCTGACAACCACTAGCTAACATGCTGTGGCTGAGTAATAGAGGAGCTTTTTAGCAATAGCCTAATGTGAAGAGGTTCTTTTTTTCTGTTTCAGTGTATAGCTATATTTGAACGTTGCTGCACAGTGTTGCCGAAAACAGTACAGAGACCCTGCAGGGTTCTGTGTTGTTTTGGAGTTGTGCTTAGTCTCTGCAGAACCACAAACTGTGATCATATGCATATATTCGTATTAGTAATTCGTATGCATTTGCATGTATTGACATTTTCGCTGCCCAGAAGGATCACAGAAAACTATACAAAGTAGTGCTTTTGCAACAATAAAATCCCAGTTCATTTCCCCAAACAGAGCACAAAAAACAGTCTCTGCAAATGGAGCAAAATTCTTATTGTCTGGAATAAACTCCATCACTTTCTTTTTTACTAACTCCTTTATAGAATTTTAGAAATGTTACTACAGTCTTCTCACAGTGCTGCACACAAGCATGACTTCTTTAAGAAGGCTGAGGCTTTTTTCTCCCCTAAAATCTGGATTATTTATTATTGTGGAAATGCCTCTGGCTCTCCAGTGAGAAGCTTCCCAGAGCTCATTTCTCAGCAGCCATCCAACTGTAAACCTTTCCTGTTTGCGTGCACCCAAAGGACTCTGCAGAGGGAGGTGTCACATAGCCACACATTCACAGAAGCTGAAGCACTGCTTTGTGTTTAGATGATAATTTTGTGTTTTTCCAACAGGTAGGGTCTTAGCCTGTAGATCAGAAGGCTTCAGATTGGATTCCTTGCCTCTTTGGCTCTGGTTTCTTGCTTGGAAACGTGTGTAGTAATAGTGCTTGTGGTTAGCCTTCTGTGTGTGCAGGTGTGTGTGTACAGCTGGGTGAGGGTAGAATTTGGAATTCTGCTCTTAATTCCCAAAACACATTCCTTTTCAAATGACTTTTCCAGGTAGTTATTTTCTATGGCATGAAACAGAAGACAGGCACACGATGGTCTCTCTCCCAAGGCTTCTGTTTTCTTTCATCAAAGCCTGAAAGCACCAGGAGAAACACAATGATGGCATAAGTCAGCACAGTTGTAGTCCTTGGCTCGCTGTCTTGTATGACATGCCGGTGGCCTGTGAAGGGTTTTCCTCTATGAAAAAGATACTTTCTTCTATTGTTATTATTATTATTGTTGTTTTATTTATCAAGTAGGGAAGGGGAAGAATGGATGGCTTACTCCACACATATTCCATACTCAGCAGAGAAGTATGTCAGTAATGTTATCTGTGCTTATATTTAACAGGTTCAGTTAAGATGGGTTTGATGTTTTCTTAATGACCTACAATGTGTTAGGGCAATGTGGGAGACAGGGAATACTAGAATGAAAGAGGAGGGCTGTAAATACAAGGAATGTTCTGGAGAGGAAATTTAATGTTACCCTTAACCAAAGTAAAGCCACATAATATTTGCTGAACAGCAGCCAATGTGGCTACAAGTGACATTTACTGGGTAAATGTTAAAATGTAGATGAACAGTAGAGAGGAGAATAATAGTTGAATCCTAAAGCCAACAAACTGAAAAATGTTAGAATGATCAGTCGATTTAAAAGATAAATCAAGTTTATCTTGACAAGTTGTAGCTTCAAATACAGTATGTGCAACGCCCCATGCTTTTCTGTGTATCATGATATTATAAATTGACCAGTTTTTTTCTAGTTTTCTTTTTAAACTTTAATTGTAATCAGTTATTACGAATCTTCTTTCCAGTTTCAGCATGTTCAGACAAGTCCAGTGAGATGTGAAATTTTTGTGGCCTGCTCAAATTTGGCATTTGGTCCCAATCTCATTTTTATTTGACAGTAGAGATACAGACAGAAAAGAGGAGGACGACATGAAATGAAGGTCAGAATTAACAGGACTCCACTAATAGTCTCATCAAGTGGTTATTTTTTGGTGAAATGAAACAGCTTGAGTCTGAAAGTTCATTCTCAACCCTGGAAACAATAATTGATGAATGAATCAGGCTATAAGGTCCATTCCAAAGTTGGTCTGGAGCGTTTGACTGTATCACATGATCTTCCCCGTAACAGATGCTAATAAAAACATGCACAACCACGCTCACCAGAACCAACACACACACTACTTGCAGGTGACTGGTCCTCTATGAGTTGCATCCAAAACATTTCTGTGGGTTTTTTTCTCTCTCTCTTCTGCCATAAATAGCTCTGATGAGTAGAAGGAAAGGTTGCCATGGCGACAGAGTGCCGTGGCAGCCGATAATTATTCTGGTTTAACTGCCAGTGGAGACACACTGGCAGATAGTGACACCTGGACATGAGCCTCTCAGACGAGTCCAGATGAGGAATTCATCCAGTATTAGTCATGGAAGAAACGACAACACTCTGACCACAGACTCATAGTTTAACTAACTCCCAGCAAAACTAAGGTCAAGGTCAAAATCTTACAGTGAGAGGGTGTTTGCTTTTTAATATACAACTAATATTCAGGTGTTTATATATTAAAACACCACAGCCTGTGTGAAAATGATGTTAAACATGTAGATATGTGTTCTTTAATATGATTCAGAGATGGTGATTATCCTCTCAGGTATGCAGGCTGACCGATCAATAAACTGGACCTTGTGTGTGTGTCATGTGTGCAAGACAGTGGAAATACCACACATTGCTAAACTGTGCATGAACAAAGTGTGTGAGGCCAAGATGTTGCAACCAGCTTGTTGTTCAATATGCATTTGATAGGGGTTTTTAAAAAACACAAACATACTCACAGTTACCTCATTACTCTCCCACTCACATACTTGCACGGCCTACGTCCATGCATAGAAACACTTGTAGTCTACACAGACATAGAACAACACCACCCTCCAAGGATATAATTCAGCTCAGTGCTTTACTTCCGCTACGCAGTGTTTTTATCAGCTGCCTTCCAGGTGAGGCCGACCTGACTGATCATTCAAGGTGTGAAGGCAAGGTTGTGTTTGCTTTTTGCCATCAACTCACACTGGTAAAAACATGAACCCTGGTGTATTTTTCATCCAGGAAAACACAACCGGTGTTTCAACAAAACCAGGAATTCCTCTGTGTCCTTTGAAGAAGTTAAAATTGGCTTCTGCAGCTCCATTGGACTCACCACAAAACTTCCTTGCTGCTAAAGACAAGGAACGCCTCCCCAGTTCCCACTCTCCCTAGTTGCATTATAGGCAAGCAGAGAGACAGTGGGGTTTTTGGCCACTGGTGCACAATACACATGTTCTGTACACTCACACACATACAGACACACCAGGCAGGAGTTTAGCTTGTGCACACAGCAGGAGAAAATAGATGAAGATAGATAGGCTGTCATAGTTTTGTCACTGATCCTTGCCAGATCTGCTGTTGCTGTCTTTTCTGCTGATTGAAAGGATAAGGGTAGGCAAGAGAAAGGAGACAGGTTGCTAGCCAGAGAGACAACACTCCTGACTTTGTGTGATATTTTTCCTTCTCTGTCAGTCTCTCACTGTATCTTTCTCTTTCTGATCCTCTTTTCATTCCTGCCCCACAGTGCCCCTTATCTTTATCACAGTCACTGCAGTGCCAAATGTCCTCACACACACACTTTCACAAGTAGCATACACACAGTGGAACACAAACCCACAACTAGACATATTTGGAGTTTTTTGAGACTCAGAGACCCCATCATGACTCACCCACAATACCACACAGCCCCATAAATCATCCTTGATAACATCAGGGGTTTTATCAGTTCAGTGAAACCCAACTTTGGCTGAGACGTGATGGGATTGCTTATGCCATGTTTTAAGGCCAGACACCAGTTGTGGGGGCTCTGGTGTGAGGGTCACTGCAGCAGACTGAGGCACTGCAGTATGATGCCACTCTGTGCTGCCACCTGCTGGCCATGTCTGTGCACAGGCTGCTGTCGAGCTGCTGGTGAATGATACACAGATCTGATGACAATATGGTGATACTGTACATTTTACTTAATATCAACAAATCCCAAAGACCAAAAGAAACAATGCATTTATCCTACTAACAAGTATTACTGGTGTAGCAAAGGCCTGACAGGCCTGTTCTTTGTTACAATAAACACAGGTGCTACAGTTTATTTTCAGTAAGTACTGTATACTACTACTATCCAGCCCCCATAAATACTGACCAAAGAACCAAATCCACAGCTGAAAATAGCCCCTAAGAAATACACTATTTGTTCTCTTTGGTGACATTTACTAAAACTACCATACATGACCTGTTGTTGGAAACCATTTCAAATGTATATATTTGTGACCTATTCTATTGTATTGTTGGTTTTGGTTCCAGAAATGTAGAATAATACCAGCTGTATCCCTTAAATGATTGGTTCTTTAGAAGTAATGAAAGGTGTGAATGATTAGGGACATTTCAGTAGGTGCACAAAGGTTAGAGTTTAAAATAATGTCAGATTGAGAGATGATATTGTTATTCATCGCAATGAAGTTGCTGTATCATGCTTCATTTTGTTAGCTTGACAGATCAAAATTACTTTGAAGTGATTAAACCATCTTTATCCTCATTGATAATCATTTGGGAAATGATGAAAAATGCATTGTTCCACTATATATTTATTTGTATTGTGAACTCCAGTTGTTCAAAGCTGTTACAGCCGAAGAATGAATAATCTACAGTAAGAACATAATTATTCTTTGTAATTTCTTTTTTTCTTGACAAAAATGACAAAATATTGTCTTTTTTTTCTGCTTTGTTTTGTTTTTGTTAGCTGGTACCTGTCTGATGCCCTCTCCTCCCACATTGTGATGCGTCATGGCTCCGGTGCTGAGTGGAGTGCGGTGGGGCCCAGAGGCAGGTGTCGTTGGGTCAAGGGCAGCAGCTACTGCTGGGTCGTGGCTGGGCAGTGAGCAGCTGGTCCTGGTCGTCACCCTCAGCATTCTCACTACCCTGTTGCTGGTCTCTGTGCTGCTGCTGCTGTGTGCTAGCTGCCAGGGGTGAGCACCATCACACCTGACCTATTGTATATGATGGCCGTTGAAGTTATTGTTCTAGGAAACGTATCTAGTAGATGTCAGGAAAGGCTGACACTTTGCTGGTTTTAGATAATCCCACATCAAGCAGTGCCAGCTATCTAAAGCGGATATACTCTTCCTGGAAATGCCAGCTGTGCATTGTAGTGCTGAAAATATAACAAATACCGGAGAGGGCAGTCCTAACTGCTGTAATTATAGCTACAATGTTGAAAAGCAATGGTGCTGAGTAAGAGCTGAGGAAAAGCTCTTTAGGGAAGTATGGTTTCAGATATGACTACAATTATAAATGAGTATGTGTGCTGTCAAGAAAAACTTCAAAGTAGAGCACATTTGGATAAATAAATAAAAGAAAACAACAGATGTAGGTCCTGTGAAAGATGGCACAGCACATATAAAGAAATGATGATGTCGATGTCAATTTCTGGGTTGCAAGCGAGAGCAGACGTCTTTACTGCTCCTCTTGTCTGTTCTACCATTTTTCACATCTTCTACATTTTCAAGTCTTTGAACAAATTCTACAACTATTAAAATGCCTGCAGTTTACCCAGCAAGATGTGGATGTGATTAAAGCAGCCATGGGTGAACAGAAAATACAAACCAAGGAAGCAAGGGATAATGTCTACAAAACTTGTGAGAGTCTAATAGCCATAACGGATAAAATGGAGCATTTGGAAGTACAGTCCAAGCGAAAAAACCTGATCTTCAAGGGAATCAAGGAGTCAGCTGGAGAAAGCTGGACGGA